CTAAATTCCCGTCATCTCCTCTTCCTCTTCTCCAAACGTTTTGATAGCTTCAAATTCCTCCAAACGTTCCTCTTCAATTGCGCATAATCCATTAAAGCTCTATACCAACCTCATCATCTTCTTCCTCTTCTCCGGTCTATAAAAAAGGGTTTCAAGAGGAAGTACGGTGATGATGGTGATGAAGAAATGGAAGCAGAAGATTGAGGAAGATCCAAATTCAACGGGATGGAGGAGAGGAACATCATACTTCCTTCGATGATTAAGAACAAAGATCGAGACCTAGAGTATACGAACTCTAGAGCATGGCGACCTTTGAAGCATAAAAAGAAATTAGAGAAGGAGAAGAAGATTAAAGCTCCTAATGCTTCTAAGAAACGATCTCTAGAGCTTAGCGAGGAGGTCAAACAATCTCTATACTTTTTGTTTGGGTTCTTTTTATCCAGTCTGAGATCAAAATTTCGTTTTCTTCTTGCTTTTTCCTGCCCAAAAGATAACTCCAAAAACAATTGATAACTCCTGCAGATCCGACAACGATGAAGTATGTTTCCATTGTAAGAATGATGCTGATGAGTTTAATACAGTCAACTTCACTGTAACGTTTCTCCACAAAATATCATCATCTGTTTGAATATGTATGATCTTAAGTTATGTATTAGGGTATTATAACTCTTTTGTGTTTGTTGTTATTGTCACCATCAGATTCATGTTTTGGCAAGAAAGTTTGTGATYACTTAAAATAATATTCAAACAAATGATGCTATTCATCTTCATCTTCATCTTCCTCTATAATATTTAATACCACATCCAGTAAAGTAAAATTCGATTGTGGAGAGTGCGATCGCTTGGGGACGGAGCAGCATCGTCGTCATGGACAATGAAAGCTTTGTAGAAAGCTTGAGTTGAAAGTTTAGAGAAGAGGTAAAAAGCTTATTCTTTTACAACTTGGCAATAGTTTACATCGATTTTCTTATAAGGGAAGAAGCTGTAAATGAGATCGTGACACAGGTCATTAGTGGCACGCTATAACACTTGATCTGAGAGGATCAAATCTGTTAACAAGATGTATTTGATGAGATGTAGTAGCCGTACAACCTGAGGCACCTTCGAGGTTGCTTCCTCTGCTTTTGACTGAAGTCTTTAGAGAAGACCGTTGAAGACTTTGGTTGTGGGCTGCTTTGTCTTTCGCTTGATGGGCTTGTCCGAGAGGCCCATTTGAATTCAAAAAAGCTTTTGACTGTTGGCTATCAGAGCGTCTCAACCTCTTCTCCTCACTTCGAGTAGTCTATTTTGTTTCTAGGAAAATTAGAAGTGTGTGGATATTGATACAGTTTCTTGCTTTCTAGAGTAGTGCAATTGAAAATTTCACCCCTAATCGAACATAGGATCGAATTCTTTGTTCATGTATTGTTCGGAGCCACTTTTGTTCATTTCCCACTGTTTCCTATTTAAAATAGCAGTTTTTAAGGTCAAGGGTTATTGAAGTACGTACATAGATTGACGGTCATTGCATGGAGCTTTGGAACTTCATAATTCTTGTTCCTTATTCACTATGAATTTATATATTGTCGTCTAATTTTTCACTCTTTGAATGCTTAAGAAATAAAACACTTGCTTCTTTGCTTATATTGGGTTTCTCCAGCTAATTGAAAATGATCTCGCAAACATGAACTTTTTTAAAATTCACAGTCATCATATGGAATTGCTCACTACTTCGGCCGAAGATCCACTGGTCTGGCTATACTGTCTGTGAATGGAAGGTATTTGTAAGGAACACTTGTCAATATTTATGTTCCTTATCTTTAGTTTATGAACGCTTTCTCATAGGTAATAATTGAAGTCATAGGTTTAGACAGGCTTTATGCCACTGGTCAGAAGGAAGCTATATCAAGTAAGTTTGGATTTTTGAAAGAGTTGCATTTTAATTGTTTGTTTTTAGAAAAGCATGGATGCTCAGTGCTTTTGTTTCCCATGAGATGCAGTTAATTTCAATATTTTTATTGAAGATCCAAGTCTAAAGGTTACTGACGCGGCATTGTATCAAAGCTTATCTGTTTTTCCACTTGTTCGTAAGTTCTCATCATTGATCATACTCTTTTTCAAGAATCTACGTTGTTGTAAAAAAAAAGGTTCTAACTAATTACCAAATTCTCCTACTGATGAAGGCTTATCTGCTGAAACATTTTATTCAACTCATCTTTAACTGAACTGAGTCATAATCTTTATTTTTCTGTTTTTTGCAGAATATATATGATTCCCAGAAAGACAAGGGAAAACTGAGAAATTTGTTCTTAGTTTCTCATAGTGATTCGTCCATGCTTATGTCTTATGTGAGAAGTAGTGTAGTATATTTGTTGGTGTTTGGCCTATTTGAACTTTAAGACATTTTTGTCTGATTCTATACTAGAACTGTAAACCAATGTGAAATATATGTTATACTATTAGAGATTCAGTATTCATCTCTTTGCTTCTCAGTTTTTCTACACCTAATCATCTTCCCTTTGATCTATCGCAAATTCTCCATGAGGGTTAGTTTTTGCTTGTAGGGAACTGCATCTGTGGAAAAGAGCCATACGATTCTGCAGCTTCTCAAGAGAATTAGATCAGGTAGATCATAGGTAAGGTACGGTGTTACAATTGTTCACTGCAATTTAGAGCAACAAAATAGTGATTAGTTAGCCAAAGAGGGGTTACGTTTCTAACGTAAGTTTATTCGTTTATTTGTTTTCAATTTTCTCTAAATTTTTCCTAATATATGATTAGAGTTACTCAATACAATGTCTCTTATTTACAAAATTTTATTGTATGCTTAGACATCATATATGAAGCTAGAACATTTATGGATTCGCCTGGTGGAATCTTGTATGATTACGTTTGCCATAGTCATATGTTGACAATATCCATATGCTTGTACTTTGTAACTTTACAGCTTGGGCTTCAAGTAATGGGGCAAAAACCAAAAAAACACAACACTTTGAGGGACAAACGCTGGAATATATCGGAATTTCTGGACCATAAACAGCTACGATGGTGAGTTTGTCTCAACTCTCCAGTTTGAGCAAAAGCAACAAGAGAAAAAAAAATATTGCAAAAAGGCAGCTGAAGAAGAAGGAATCACGTCAATCTTAATAATCAATTTTTAACTCTATTTCTTGGTTTTCAATAATCCACATCGATTTTCCGCTATGATTCTCTCATGCATTTAGTTTATGTTGAGATTTGAAATGAAAGAAATGGACCATGAGAAAGAGGTACTGGTAAATGCTCAAATATGCTAAAGAACACGAATATGTGTTGGTTAGAGACATGGCACAAGGTGAAACCATGAGGCTATGAATTCTTACGGTTTAAGAGGCTACAAGTTAGAACAATAGTGGCATAATTTAAGAAGATGGCCAATAGAGGAAAGAACACCCACAAATGAGTGTGGACATGAAGCAGCAAGATAGGGAAGAAGAGACGACGGCATTAACACCATCATTTCATTATATTGACCTATATACATATTGATTTCGTCATGTGTGTGGTTCTTTGTGTGTGATGTTGGTTAATGGATGTGGTCAGAACTAAGCAAAACAATCACTACAAAAAAATGTATCTTATAATAAAAATTTCTTAACCTTCTTGCATAAGGAGAAAAGAGAAATATGTAGAAGTCAGATTCTCCAAACGAAAACTAGTTTCACATCTACAAGAGGCTGACACTAATCCCTTGGATATAGATTATCATCTTATTCCGATTGAGTTTAATAATCAACTCAAATATCTTATTTGTCTCATCTTATCGATCTATATATACGTAAAACATTTGGATGCCAAAACGAGAAGGAAATAAATATTTTTAAAAAAACATAGACAATGCACATGTGATTAATGCATGTATTTTAAAATTGGTACAAGTCTAATATACAAAGAGTCTTATAAAGTTGTTAAAACAAACAAACGARTAAAATAGGTGTCGTTCGCAATTCGACTCCATGTAAAATTAAACCCAAATACCGAGGTAATATAAAACAAACATAATCAAAATCAACAATAACACAAAAGCAAACGAACTTATAATAGACACACATACATTGATAATAACATACATTGGTAATATATGTACCATAATGTTATAGTTAGAATAAAAATATAAAAAAAAGAGTTAAACCAACTTAATAACGTTGATGCTTATCGGTCAATTGTTTTGTACTTTTTGTGTTTTGTTTTTTTTCAACGGTTATATAATATTTATAAAATTGAAAAAAAAAAATCAAACAGGAATATGAGAATTAAATGTAACAAGATTTTGAAAAAATAAAGTAGCAAAATAGTAAAAATTAAATTACTTCAAACATAAATAGAAAAAAAATAATTATTTAAAAAAAAACAAAACGTGATAAAGTTTAATGGAAATCAAATAAGAAAAAAAAAATCGATCTTATTTTGTTTTTTACATTTTCGTGTTTGGCTTTTTACATATTACAAAATACTTTAGATAATAAAATTTTACCATAGACCCGAATATATACGGATGCTTTACAACAACTAGTCAAATTCTAAACTCAATCTCAAATGCGAGTAAAAACACCAATTACGAGTTTTACAATAGAGTGAAATAAAGAAGCAAACAAAATCCAAATTGAACCGGTTGAGATTCTATAAGCCGGTTCAGATTGGTTCAGTTAGAATTATGGTCTTCCATGGCGAGAGTTTTTGATTGAACATTTTCCCCAGATCGTAATACTTAAATCATTTGGCCAA